CAGGCGGTGGCCAGTTGCAGCAGAAGCTGACTTGGGACGCCTGGGGCAGAGCAGCTGGGGTAGTGCCCAGAGCGGCGCTGCAGGACCAATCGGCAGCGCCCCAGCTGCTCTGCCCCAGGGTCCACAACAAAAGCCTCAGAGGCGCGGGAACCCACCTGTTGGCTTTTTTGCAACAGTGTCACACTCTTAACTCATATTAACTTGAGGTCCACTATGACCCCCCCAGACTCCTTTCAGTAGTACTCCTTCCTACGCTGTCATTTCCCATTTGTATGTGAGCATAAACCAGTGAAAGAACTAGCCCCGCAATGTTACACCTGGTTTGTGTGGCTTAGTGGCACCAGACACGCTTCTTGAGATGGCATCAAAGGTGGTGGCATCCTGCTGGGGATGCAAAGGTGCATGGATAATGGCCTTGCCAGGTTATCAGGGCCACGGAGGAAAGTAGCCCAGTGCAGAGTTTGCTCGCCCAAGGAATTGTGCTGTCATCTGCACAATCGTTCACCCCGCATGCTCACTCACAAACACAGCACTGCCTTGGGGTGCTCAGCGACTGTAGGTGTCACTGAATTCTACAGCATGTCTAGGGTGCAAGTGGGTTAGAGAACAATGACCATCCATTTGGGGTTCGTGCTACAGGCGCGAGGCTAATGAGAGCTCAGTAAGGGGATGAGAAGCTGCCACATTTCCCTGGCCAGAGCAGGGCAGAGAGGTGGCTGGAAGGTCAAGTACCAGCCCTTTTTCTAGACACTTTTGCAGAGTTTGTAACTGTCACAGGGCATGGGGGTTAACTTGCCCTGAGTCAGGTGGAAATAGGACAGGCTGTCTGCAGTGCACACTGCTGCCTGTTGTCTGAATGGATCCAAGTGCTTTTCACATATACTGAAAACAGCCCTGAGCTGCAAAGTGTGGCCTGGGATCCAAACTATCCCAGGACTAGCTCAGACTGCCTCAGCCCCTGGCTGTGCTGTACAGGGTGAAACCTGGGTCCCAGAGAGAGGACTCTGCCTCTTCCCCCACCCCGGCACCGGAGCAGGTGGCATACTAATGTGAATCAAGCGGGGAGGGGGAGGGTTGTTTTTCTCCCTCTCGAGTGCCCTGCAGAAACCTGCTGCTTTAAACACGCCCCAGAAGCAGGCTGCAAAGCCGCCAGGGCTGGAGCCTACTAAATACAAACAAGCGGAAAAGGCAAATTGACACCCGCAGCCCATCGCCCCGTAAGCAGACTGGCCTGGCCCGTCCGACAGGTTCGGGGCTGGGAGAGGAGCGGGCTGACCCGACCGGCAGAGACCTGCAGGAGTCTCGCCAATTAGGCGCGCCGCCCCTCGAGCCCTTCCTCCGCCCCTCGCCCGGGGACGCCAGCAAAGGGCCGGGGCTGGCACCTGTCGGTCCCGCAGCCCCAGGCAGGTGGGCGCGGAGCTGAGAGCCCAGCGCTACACTTCGGCCACATCGCGCTACTCGGGCGCCCGCACCCCGGCAGCGGGGCAGGCTCAGCGGGGGGCGGAACGGCC